ACCGGCTAGCCGGGAGGAACCCCTCCCGACAAGCCTTGTTTTTTTTTTCTTGAAAAAAAAAACACTCTGGGCTATCCCCTAGGACCCAGGCCTGGGTCCTATGGGATAGCCCCGGTCCTAAACCCATATACATATGGGTTTGGGACCCAGTTTGGCGTGCAGGCCTGCACGCCAACTGCAGGCCAATCTACCCTGCAGCAGATTGGCGTGCAGGGGCGCACGCCAATCTGCGCTTGGCGTGCAGATTGGCGTGCGCCATCGGGGTTGGCGTGCACTTATCAACCCCCCGGCCGAGTATTTGTCGGCATCACCACCATTGTCGTCTCAGTGGCCCCATCGACGATCTCGTTGCCAGTCATCCAGCCCACCACCTCAGATCCTGACAAACAAGCCGCCTATGATCGACACGGAGAAGACCCAGACTCAAGATCAGCAGGACAGCGTCCATCTGCCTTCCACCTCCACCGCCGAGATCTATCAATCCCACATTGCCTCGATGATCCAGGATGCCGTTGCAGGTTACAACTCGACCCTGGTGGAGATATAGGTGAAATTCATCTGGGTTGACATCTCTCCCATCTTGAATCTTCCTGACCAATCTTCATATTTGTTTGTTGATTATTTTTGTCGTCATCGATTGGTCAGGTCTTGGTGCTATGACCGAATGGAAAGATATTGTGGATTTGGTAGTCACTCAATTCGTGACTGACTCCAGCAAGGAACCAGCAGTTTAATAATCATCACGTGGAGAAGATGTATCATGTTCCATTCGAAGATCTAAGTTCTATTTGCTTGGTCGAAGATCCTGCGGCCGACCGACTTGTTTCAGACCGGCAACGGCCCCGTTCCCCATCACCTCCTCCACCATGCAACAGGTCACGGGGCAGTCTGCGGCCGACCGACTTGCTTCAGACCGGCGACGGCCCCGTCGCCGGCGGCTCCTCCTCTTCCTCCAGCCACTCCCAGCCGACTTGCTCCAGACCGACGACGGCCCCGTCGCCGGCGGCTCCTCCTCCTCCTCCAGCCACTCCCAGCCCGCCCAGCAAAGGCTACATCGTCCCCGACCAAGACCCCTCAACAAAAAAATTAAAAAAACAATAATAAAAAAAACTTTTTTAACTTTTTTTTTATGTTCTTTCTTCTCCACTCTCAGTGCATCCCCCCTCCAAATTGTGTATTTTTTACATCAATATTGAAAAAACTACAAAATTTGTTTTTTTTTCAACAATTTTTATCTTTTTTTTGATTGCCTATGTAATTGATTTGTTTCTATATTCTTTTTCCCTGACCCACTGTGCCCCTGTGACAAAAAAAATGGAGTTGAAAAGTGGCTCCTTGCCCTCCAAAATAAAATAAATGGGACACCATTTTTCACTGTCTAGGCACTGTACATATATAAGTAATAATATCTCTAATTATAAATAAATGCTATGTTTGGGCTGGCTCTGATTAGTAGCAGGCTGACATAAATCACACCAGCTACAGGCCCCAGTGTATCAGGTATCTGAGTTCTCTGCGTTTTGCACAATACCCCAGACGGATTAAACCACCCCTGACTTTTCAGGCCCCTCTGGCAACGCTGGGCCGCTACGCTAAAGGGCCACTTAGCGTTAGCGTAGCGGCGCTAAAACGGGCCCTTTTTTCTGTAATGTTAGCGTGCCGCTACCGCCGCTACGCTGAAGCCCCGCTAACAGGCGGCTTGCTTCTGGGCAGTGTTAGCGCATCGCTACAGCCGCTACGCTGCGTTACGCTGCGCTACAGCGCTTTTAGCGGCAAAAAAGGCAAAAAACCCGCTAAAAAGCGCTGTAGCGCGGCGTAGCGGGCACTTTTTTGTGCCCTGAGCGCGTAGCGTTAGCGCAATTCCAAATTTCTGCGCTAACGCTACGCTAACAGCTAACACACTTCTGTGCCCTTTGCGCGTAGCGTTAGCGCAGAAAGGCGGATTTTTTGCTAACGCTACGCTACAAAGTAGCGCATTTCTGCTGCGCTACGCCACGCTAACTCTACGGTTAGCGTAGCTGGCCCAGCGTTGCCTCTGGTTTTATTTCTATCAAATATATTTAATAAGAATTGGCCACTTTTCTCTTGAATTTGCTCCACACATTCCAAATAATTATGTAAAACCCCCTCCTCCATTGGGTTTCACAAACATATGTCACAGATGATTATGTGACATCTACAAGTTGTAATTATCTAGAACTTAGTTTCCTTTTCCTAGATGGCAGAGACTGTCTCTCTTCCATCTAGGTGAGTTCCGTTGTTTCTTTGTTTTTCATCTCTCAGATCTAGATTAGGAGAAGCGGGAATCTGAAAAGAGACTGTCTCTTCTGTCTAGTTCCATTTTCAATAAAGTCCCCCCAAGTTTGGTTCTAGAATTATTGGTTTAGAACCTGTCCCAAGCCTTCTCAGCAATAAAATCAGTGAAGAGTATTGATCTCTTACAAATTATTTTTGAAGTACTTGTACCAGTTTTATGCCAGTTTTTTTTTACTATAAAGAAACTCTTACTTTTTCACCTTCTGTAGCTAGAGGAAGCTTGTCTTGGCATCTCATAGGCTGAAAAATTTCCTTCATCCTTTCTGGTGCTCAGACCAATTTTCCTAGATTTGGATTTTCATAAACAATGCTCCTATCCCGAGGTAATATCAAATCAGCATAAGCTTTATGATTAAACCCCCTC